TTTATAATTTAAATTAATGAATGAAATTTCAGAGTTCAGGTGGAGACATTAGAAGTATAGAGTTGAAATAGATTTTAGAATGAACTCGAAACCCAATCCTAAACAGGAGACAAGGGATAAACCTATACTCCTGTTCAAAAGACCAGGAAAGTGGCTGAACCGGACAATATCTAGTTCACACATTATCTTTAGTGGATATCCATATTTGAGTAGAATCTTCCATGTTTTTTTTTTTTTTTTAAACCAGTGTTTATTTCATCTAATGGCCTGAAGAAAACTTAGCGAAAAAATTTGCTCTCTGGTAGGATTCGAACCTGAATCACCCTTCATGGAAGAAACCACCATCTGATCTGGTGTGTTTTAGACTACTCAGCTACGAAGCAAGTTTTTATTTGCCTTAAGACAACATCTCGTACAGATTTTTTCTCAAAAGTCACATCTGCTTAGTTTCACATCTGAACCAATTTCTAAAGAATTAATGGATTTTTTTTAATCTAACAGATTTTTATTACTTCATGCATTATTGTCAGTGAATGTCCATATTTGAGTAAAAAGCACAAGCCGGTAGATAAAATAAATACTGTTTAAAAAGAAAATATGTGTGGAATTCTTTTTTAGTGGTTAGATAGATTCTTTTTTCTTTTTTTTTTTTTTTTAGTTCACAAGAAAATGAAAATTGTAAATTCATAATTGAAATATACTTCTAAAATCAAAATCTTTTTGAACAGCATGAATAAATTTCTGTCTGAATTCCTAAGATGAGGTGTTAACATTCTTTACATTGAAACTATTTTCTAAAGAATGTAATGGATTTTTATTAATCCAACAAGGGAGCATATATCTTTCTTTAATAAGATTTCAGAAACATTCAGGCCAGTAGACAAAAAATAAATAAATTTATTATTTAATAAATAAATGAAACGTCTACTCAAACATTGGTATCCACTAAAAATAATGTTCAGCTCAGTAGTTCTCAACCTTTTCTTTTTTTATCCATTGACTGCTTTTACTCTTAATTTTATTTGGTGACCCCCCCCACTCCTCAAAAAAAAATTTGATAAAAAAAAGCTTATTTTATTTTTTTACTAATAAATAAGTTTAGGAATTGTATTATAGAAATTGTAAATATATATGCTTTATTTTGAAGTAAAATTAATTTAACTTGTATTTAATAACTAAATTCTATAGAACATTTATGTACACTAGTAAAATAACTCATAATAAACCATTTTGAAATATCTGAGTAATTAATAAATTAAAAAAAAGTGCAGATTTATTCAATGAGATCCCTGTGGGTGATGCTGTTAATCCTTTCTTTATATATAATCCATATATGATTTATATATTAAATTAATTTTATTATTAATATATTATTTTTTTACTATTTTATATTAATTTATATTAATATATTAGTATTTTATTTTATTAATATCTAAAATTAATATTATTATTAATATATTAAATTAATTTATATAATAAATTATAATCTTTATATAATTTTCCTATATATATATATTTTAAATAAAGCAGACCACTTTAAGGTTCCATGTAATAAATTATTTCACCACAGCCCTTTTAAGGACTGCAGATCATCAGACTTTACTTCCAAAGCATTTTTTGTTTCAACCTTTGGAAGTAAAGTCTGATGATCCGCAGTCCTTTAAAAGGGGTGTGGTGAAATAATTTATTACATGGAACCTTAAAGTGGTCTGTTTTTATTTAAATTATTTGCTCTGGATTTACATTGAGCTCTCTGGATTTTATCCTCCTTGGGTCTACCCATACAGATTGCCTAGTTTTTCATAAACTAAATATATATATAATCGATTCTCCTGTCGGGTTCGACGTATGAGGGTCAAGCAGATCAGTTCCCAGGAAACTGACAGCCCGACAACAGCACATGAGATTCGATTATAGTGGTGAAGGCTTCGTGCAGGACCATCCACACTTTTTGAAGGGCCGAATACAGAGACCTGGTGCACTATGTGCCACAAGGTCCCCAAACAACCCCCTTCAGGTTTTGAATTCAGAGTTGTCCTTCTCCTAGACCAGTTGCCACCCAAGACTATAGAACCCAGTCTGTCCTGTTATTTAACCCATAGCTGGAGGGAGAAGAAGAGGATTCATACCTTTCCCAAGGGTATTAGCACGTAAGTGAATGTAATGGATTCAACCTGGATTCAACTCGGCTCTACAATTCCACAATCCAAGCCGATATCTATCTATCTATCTATCTATCTATCTATATCTATATATATATATATATATATATATATATATATATATATATATATATATATATATATATATATATTTCATTAAATAATATAGACAAGTGTTGTCTATTTATTTTATGTAAATTATTTTCATAACGTCTGATAAGCTTAATAACATTATCATAATGAAAAAAGAAAATCACAATATTAATCCATATCTTTTAATCCAATCTATGCTTTTGGCTTACATAAGCCATTGTCAAAGATGTCAATTACTGTACAACATATTAAGCAATATACGGACAAGACAGTGACCTTAGTCTGCTATTGTTTCAGTTTTTATTCAACTTTTATGATCTAAACATCCAGTAGAGTAAATGGGATGCTAACAATTGATACAATTGATTAATGATACACTCCATGGCCGAGTCAGTCTAAAGGATGTCAGATCTAATAATGCTTTCTCCTGCCAAGGGATATATGCAGGTTTTAATCCTGCTAGAGAGCACATAAGTTTCTTTAATAAGATTTCTCAAATATTCAGGCAGGTAGACAAAAATAAATAAATTTACTGTTTAATAAATAAACGAAACGTCTACTCAAATATAGGTATCCACTAAAAATAATGTTCAAGTCAGTGATTCTCAACCTTTTTTTTTTTTTACCTACTGACCACTTTAACTCTTAATTTTGTTTGGTGACAATCCACCCCCACCCCCCACCATAACTATATGATGAAAAAAATAGTTTATTTTATTTTTTATTTATGAATAAGTTTTGGGAATTGTATTATAGAAATAGTAAGTGTATATGCTTTATTTTAAAGTAAAACTAATTTAATGAAAATAAATTTGTATTTAACAACTGTATTCTATGGAACATTGTCTGCATACAAATCCTAGACAATTTCCTTATGGGCAGATACAGGTTGCTACATTATTTCGTAAGATGTATTGAAGTCTGACGTTCAACTTTCCTTTTTTAGAAGAGATGGATTTTTATTTATTAAGTTGACTGATTTTCTTACTTAAACATTCTTTTTAGTGGATACCCATATTTGAGTAGATGAGCAGATATGAAATTTTAGGAATCGACGATGAGAATGATTTCACTTAAAGGCACTATTCAGCCTTGCTTGATTGGTAAATATATACATATATATATTGTTGTGACAAAGTAAATGGTTAAGTAATAACAAAAACTAGGTTTGCAGATATATAAACAGTAAGTACACCAGAAGAGTATTACATGACTAGTAAGTGTGTGTCGTGTGAACTAGCACTCAATCTGTTCACTGTTTCCCCGAACCTTCTCTCCTACTAAACTCATAGTAGGCGGAAGAGTCTAACATATTCTTAGAGAGAGGACACCACAACCACAATATATATATATATATATATATATATATATATATATATATATATATATTACATTTATTTATATTTTTTTTAGAAATTACTTTGCTTACGTTAGGATATGAGCCTGAGCAGATATGAATGCTTCAAGAGTGAGAGAAAGATTTGCATTTATAAGGCATTATTCAACTTTGCTTGATCAACAACACACTCCATGACGAAGTCGGTCTAAAACATGCTGAATCTAATGATGGTTTCTCCTGCCAAGGGGGATGCAGATTTGAATCCTACCAGATAGAGCATATTTTTCTTTAATAAGATTTCTCAAATATTCAGGTCAGTAGATGATAATAAATAAATACACTGTTTAATAAATGGATAAACGGAGCATCTTCTCAAATATGAGTATCCACTAAAAATAACGTTGAAGTAATGAGATCTGAGGTCAACGTCGAGTGGCGATAGTCTGTTTCTGTAGATGGCCTGAAGATTGTTCATGAAGTATGAAACAGACTGTCGCCACTCAGTATCCACTTTTATATTTACATACACTCTACTCCTGATACTGAGCACTTTTACCCATAAATATAGCATACCATAAAACTACATTTTTATCATATATATATATATATATATATATATATATATAAATTACATTTATTTATATTTTCTTTAGAAATTGTTTTGTTTACCTTAGGATACAAAACTGAGCAGATATGAATTTTTCAAGAGTTTGAGAAAGATTTGCATTTATAAGGCACACTGCAAATTTGCTTGATCAACAACACACTCCATGGCTGGAATTGTCTAAAGCATATTGAATCTAATGACGATTTCTCCTGCCAAAGGGGACACAGATTTGAATCCTAACAGAGAGAACATATTTTTCTTTAATAAGTTAATAATAAATATACTGTTTAATAAATTAATGAAGCGTCTAGTCAATTGCAAGCATCCACTAAAATAATATTTGAAATGATAAAAATTCAGACTATTATACTCACCTACATTGTGGCTATCAACTTTTGACCAATGTACTTTCTGCTCTTCATCAGGTGTTTGTCAATCAGGGTAACCTTCAGGGAATCAATAAGCACCTTATGAAGGCTGGAGTTTGAATGGCTGAAATATTGTGCTAATTATAACCATGTCTTACGACTGTATTGATTAATTGATTTGTTTTTATTTCTTATCAGCCTTTTGCTGTTATTTAAATATTTTTAGATTTTAATAATTTGGGGGAATAGTAATGATTTAGTGATACATGATCTACTAATTTACCCATACCTGAGGGGAGAAAAGGTAAATTCAGACCTTTCCCAAGGATATTTGCTTGTAAGTGAATGCAATGAACCAAACTGAAATTGGAACTCGGATCACCAACTCCCAATTCTGAGTCATTATTCATTCCACCACCTGCACATCTAAGCTTACAACACCTAGTATTCCCAAGCAGTCACCCATCTAGGTACTGACCAGGCTCAACATTGCTTAACTGGTGACTGTACAAGAACTGGTGTTTTAACATGATATGGACATAAGCCATTGAATGTAAATAAGCAAAACAAAAAAATAAAAAAGATATTTTGGCATTTTAAAAAAGTTTTATTCCAAAACTAGAATAATTTCATACAATCGTAACACAGTCATTCGCTTAAAGAATAATTTGGTAAAAAACCCAAAGCGAAGTTCGTTTTTTATTGTTATAATTTTTTTAAATTACTAGCAGTAGAGCCCGACGTTGCCCAGGGATGTAACAGTAAGAGATAGATCAAGTATCGACCATAATAAAGACTGAAAAACAAAATTGACAAAGATTATTGTATAAGGTTGACGGACATGATTGTCTTAATTAGTTTTTTTTTGTTTTTTGTTTGTTTTCTTTTTGTTTTGTTTTTTTTATGAATTGGTCAAACCCAAACTCAAACAAAAACATTGTTTTCAATCGTTTATGAGTCTACCGATTGAATAGAATTTTATTATAAACAATTGTCTTGTAAATGGAATTTTTAAAGCATTCTGAATGTAAAAATAAGAAACAAGTGTGCAAGACAATAAGAAACACTACCTGCCAAAAAAAGTGAAGTTTTGCTGAAATCGGTTGAAAAATGTAGGAAATCCGATCCCATATATAAACGAACACACACACACACTCACAAACAACCTGGGTTTTATAATAAGTATAACTCGATATGAGTTGTGCCCCTTTCATTCTTGACAGCGATGCCTCTTAATCGTGTTTTCAAATTGATTTCATGCAAAAACAATTGTGTTTTTCCAATTTTTTGTGCTGTTAGAACCACCACAAGGTAATTTTATGTAGTCCTGTGAAGTTTTGTTGAAATCGGTTGAAAAATGTAGGAAATCCGATCCAATATATAAACGTACAGACACACACACACACACAACCTGGGTTTTATAATAAGTATGATTTACAAAATGTTCTTCATCTTCATTTCAAGACACGGAAAAGATTTTTCCTTAAAGAATTGCTTCTGCTTTCTCCAATGCAGCTACCATAGGTCGAGGATCATATGTAGGTCCAGTGCCGCCAATATTATGAGGTATCATTGATGGGTCAAACTTTTCCCAGAATTTCTCAAGGCTTTTACCATAAAGATAAACCTGAAATTAACAAATTAACGCTTACGTTATCAACACAATATAATTGCAGACAAAATTGTATGACATATAATTTTTCATGAATATTGGTACATATTTTATAATTCTTATTCCCTTCATCCACCAAAGATTAAAACTGATTTGACTTTTAACTTCAAATGCCAAAAGTACAATACAGACTTGTAAAAGACTACAATTCAACATTCTTGGAAAAGTTTCCGAATCACCTATATTTTCAAAAGGCGTGGTATTAAAAAGAAACAATGATCCAAGTTCAAGATACCAGCCATAGTATTGCATTCACTTTAACACTAATGCCATTGAGAAAGACATAAATACTTCTTTGCATGTATTAACTAGAATCGGTACTGTATTCTCTAGCTTTGGTTGGAAAACCAGTATAGGAGAAAGAAAACTTTCAATTCCAAACAATGATGAAGGAAATCACTTCACTATCTTCTCAAGTAAAGGCATGTCATTTCAGACATAATAAAGAAAAAACGCTGTGGAGAGCAGTGATTATAAAAAGGAATAAGGCATTAAAAATATGGTGAGAATGTGAATCTATTATTCATGATTTAATTGGCAATGCTTCATTGAAGAAATTCAGATAATTTAAGACTATTACTACTTGGTGGAAAAGCAAGAGAAATAAGATGAAAGAAATACTAATCAAAAATGAATAATAATTGACAAGGCTCCAGCTAAGAAATTCAGACAACTTAAGACTATTACTACTTGGTGGAAAAGCAAGAGAAATAAGATGAAAGAAATACTAGTCAAAAATGAATAATAATTGCCAAGGCTTCATCTAAGAAATTCAGACAACTTAAGACTATTACTACT